TTCGATCGTTGAAAGGTAAATCACAGAAGAAGCTATTGAGTTTCGTACAAACTATTTGTCAGAAGCTAACTCTATAGGAATTCCCGAGTCTCGTCATGATGGTAGAGGTATTCAAGGTTTAAATGTTAATACATTTGAATTATAAGTAGTTCTTCAAGTACATTTGTATATATTGAATAACCTTAGTGAAGTTCAACCTTACTTGACCATTTACAAAAGTGTTATAAAAGAAAAATTCCCCCGGATGAATGAAATAGGATTGTTGACAGAGCATAAAAAAACTTTCATAACTTGGTTTACTTTCATAACTTGGTTTAATGAAAGTGTTTCTAAAGAGAGTAGCACATCAAATACCATTAAATGGTTGTCACGTATGACTAATTTTAATGTAATTACTTGGAGTGCATAAGACATTACTAAATATTTATTCTATACAAAATCAAAAAATTATCATATCACCATGCAAAATAGCGGGGTTATGGTTGAGGCTGAATCCATGTACTTTTCTAGTTTCAAAGATAACAATCTTGTACTAACATATAGAGTGTACTTTGGGGTCATTGAGGAGATTTTGGAGATTGACTATATTGATTTTAAAGTGCCTTTATTTAAGCACAAGTGGATTGACAGTAACACTGGTGTATAAACTGATGAGTTAGGAATCACATGATTTGATCTTCGAAAGACAACTTATAAGAACGATCCATTCATCATGGTAATCCAAGCAAAACAAATATTTTATGTCACTGATCTTGCTAACACTAGATGGTGAATGGTTCTTTAAGGAAAACATCTTCTTGATAGTAATGATGAAAATCAAGATTTAAACTATGAGACTTATTATTTAGAAACACATGTACGACAATCATCTGAAGAAAATGATTCAGATGATGTGCATGTTATTCGTCGTAATCATGAAGAGTGGATATGGGAAAAACTAATAAATAAATGTTTTACATCACTTAGTAATTTATAATTATTCATTGTACTCTTTTTTATTCCTTGTACTATAAATTTAAAGTTGTTGTTGATTATTCTAATTGGTTTCAAATATTGTTCAAATTATAGGTGCTTAATAATCAGGGACAAATCCTATTGGACAACCTACATCTTTCCAGTTTGGTTATTGCTTTTGTTGGTTAATCATTTGTTTTAGTTTTGTTACAAAATTATAAAGCGTGTGACATTTTGGATTTGCATTTGGTGTAAACAATGAATTATTTGTGGTACAATATTTTAGAATGAGAAATTGGAAAAATATACAATGTTTCTGTTTCAGGAATCTGCAAAATATGGTTCTGTAATACAGGTGTACATGACAACTTATCCACTCGTTTTTTTACCTAAAATTGAGCTAATAACACTGAGCTATTACCTCGGTTCTATACAACACCGAGAGTTAATATTGGATGCACCATCCAGTTATGAAAATAATAAAAATGCAGATGCTGGAGATTGAATCCATGTGAGATAACTTTACCCCTTAGTTATTTATTAACAGAGAGTTTAAGTGGTAGCTTTTCATGATGTCTTTCGTTACCTCGCTTCCTTAGCCAAGGTTAAATACATTTCTCTTCCGATGTTAGATGTGTTTTTTTGTATTAGTGAGTCCATTGTAGTTCTCCTGAGTGAGAGACATGTTACCCTCATCAGTGCCCTTCATCTTAAATTCAATATTGATCTCTTGAAAATCATATCCAACATTGTTAGCAGATGCATTTCTTCTTTCTGTTCCAGAACTTGTAGGATATACATGCTTCCTATAGCTTACATCCACATTGTGGCTATTCTTTCCACAATATGTGCATACCTTATCCTTGAAGAAACCTCATCTACCTCTTCCTTATTGATTATATCCTCTTCCCTTTCTAAAAATTTCATTGGCTCCATTACTCTCAACTGAACTTTCTAGTACCTATGCTTCATTTTCTTTGACATCAGCACAACCACCAGCTCCATAACCTTATTATTTTCTTCTCACATCACAATGGATAACACTTTGTTGATTGTTCGTAGAGGCTCTATTAATAGAATATGAGACTTAACACTTTGATATTTTTCATTCAATCCCATAAGGAAATAAATAATTTGATCTTCTTTCTTGAACCTTCTTGCATTGCGCATAACTGCACACACACAAGCATTATAACATGTGAACTGAGGCATGGGTCTGAACTGTTCAAGCTCTTCCCACATAGCATGTATTTCGGCAAAAAACTCTGAAACTTTCATTTCTCCTTGTTTGAAGTTTGAAATATCTTGATATAAAGCAGCAATACAAACTCTATCTCCATGTAAGTAGCACTCTTTGAGATCATTTCACATGTCTAACACATATTCGACATAAAGCACACTCTCAATAATTTGTGGTTTCATGGAATTGATCAACCATGAGTGAACAAGATTGTTGCATCGCTCCCATGCAATATAGTTAAGATCATCTTCTCTTGGGAATGGAATTGAGCCATTCACAAATTTGAATTTGTTCTTGGTAGTAAAAACGCGTTGCATTCTTTTCGCACATCCATGGTAGTTGGATTTTCCTTTCAGTTGGGGTGTCATACAAAGTAGTTGGATTCTCTGATGGATGTATGTAATACAAATCAAGAGACGCGTCTGCATTTGCATTTCCACCATTGTTATTGTTGTTATTCCTTGCCATTGAACACATATAAGGAAGAAGAAGAGCTAGATTGAATCGGACTCAATGATACCATATCAATAATTTCAATGATCATGAATGAATAAAAGTAATTGTTCATTACCATAACAATGATTACAACCTCATAATAGCTTGAGTTAGTTACAAGTTGGTAAGGAAAGTTAAAAACAAAAATATAAACTTCTAACTAACTCTCCAATAAAGTTGGAGTCTGGTTAACTTGTTTAACAAGTAACCAACCAAATTCATTATAAGACCTAGCCTAGCTAATAGTTATCATCGTCTCTAGTTAGTTGTAAACATAATCAATTGTAAAAGTGCATGTTTAAATCAGCGAGATCCACTACAACATTTAGGCTCTCCAGCAACAATTGAAAAACGTTGCCAGAACTCTGAAAATCGTTGCCTAAAACAATAGGGGACGTTTTCTAGGCGTCTCCTGTGCGAGCGTTGCCTATTGTTTGAGGCGACGTTTTTTTATGTTTTTTGGGAACGCTTTTGAAAAACGTCGCCTATAGTAAAGGAATAGGGGACGATTATTTACGGCCTCTGAGACAACGTTTTTTAAGCGTTGCGTTGCCAAATTCGGCTACAATTAACAATCGTTGCCTTAAACCTGAATCAGGAAGATCGTTTTTGAAGTGTAGCCATAGCTTATAGGTTGTTGTTTTATAGTGTCCACATAAAATATACAATTTTGCAATTATTATCAAAATAATATAGTCAATAATAATTGGCTTAAAAAATAATATTGATTATATAACTTAAACCATACATCCATAAAAGTTGTAATATAATAAAATCGAGTTGAAACTTTAATTCAAGATATAGTATATAGAGTACACAAAATGCCTAACGTAACAATATTACTTTTAATACTTTGAAGTATGACCCTAGTAAAATAACTAAAAACATAGTTCAGCAAAAGAACAAAAATCATATTTCAAGTTTAATGCTTTCAACTACAAGCCAAAAAAAAGACATCATCCAACTCATTCAAGTTTGTCTTCTAGGAGTAAAGCATCCAGATCGTCCTCTTGAAATTCGTTAGATATGTCATCCTCCATAAATTCTTCATCTACGTCGTGAAACTTCTTTGTTTCCATGTGCAAGAACTTCCTTAGCTTGTGGTTGCAAAAGCTTAGGTCTCTCTGCTTTCTTCATAGCAATGTGGTTGTCCAATTTTCCATCAACCTTTTGAATTCTTTCTCTATTCACTGTAGCTTTCACTTGAGTTCTTTTCTTTGGTGTTTCTAATTTTAGTAAAAATTCACCAAAAGATATTAGGAATAATTTCATGTAATATATGCATAATAGAAAAATTTAAAAATCACTTACCTTGTACAACTTCTTTGTCACCATGTGCATGATCTTTCATTACTTTTGGTTGCGAGAGTTTGTCTATCTCCATTTTCTTTGCAATAGTCTCTTTGTCCAAATTGTGATCAACCTTTTGAACTCTTTCTTGTTGAGTTCCTTTTTTTGGTGTTTCTAATTTTTGTAAAAATTCATTAAAAAACAGTAGGAATAATATATCTAAAGGAATTCCAAAACATAACTTTAACATACATCATTTTATATAAAATCAAATGAAACAAGAAAATGATTTACCGTCCACAACTTCTATAATTTCCTGAACCCTTTTAGGGCCCCAATACCCGCTTCATAGCAAACATTTCTCCAAGAACCCTAAAATCTTCTTCATAACAATTCACTATCTAATGCCTTACTTAAGCTAGGTATTATAATACCTCACATAATATAGTGTATATATGCCTCTGACATTAAATATACAATGCATGCGTCAGTAAACCATAATCAAGTAACATATTAACTTGAGAATGGCTTTCTTTGTCAAACTTCCCTCTTCAGCTCCATTTAGTTGCTGACACAATGCAGGAGGGTAGAATATCAAATTTAAATTTTACAGTCTATCCATTCTTTTGAAACAAGGAAACAAAATTAACAAATCTCACCCTAGCTCTTCTATTTTAATTGAAGGATAAAGTAAATTTTCCTACTTTATAAGTTCAGTTGAGGCCATTCCCATTCCTACAAATTTGATTAGTCCTAATCCAACCTTAAAAAATTGGTTTGTAAGGCGAAGGTTGTCATGTCACCCACTTATAAGCACAATTCAGATTCAAACCAAATCACTATCAAATGTGTGAAACTAAAACAGGACTAGGATTTGGAGAAACCATAGAATTTATTAAGAGAAGTATCAAGAGCAACGATTGAATTTATTCTATAAATCAATTATTTCTAGTTTCTAGCTATATCTCCTATACTATTATAATCACATAGTGCCAATAAAAATTGAACACAATCAAGTTATCTAAGGTCGTTCTAACCGAATATAATCATACATAACTCCTTGAAAAGGATTAATCGCTCTTGACTGCTTCAAATAGATGATATTTTGTCCTTTCACAAGAACATAACTTGGAACATCAATGCTAAACAACCAATACAATCCATGAATTCCATGTCTTGCTATGGCATTGTCTCCTCCAAACCGCCCTGTCGCAAAGTGAGGTGGTTCTACGCTAGTGTCATTGAAACGAACCTGAAAATTTAATCCAATCAAAACAACTTCGTGCATATAAAGTTATTTTAATCTGAAATCAACAAAAGTTTGCATCAGCAGCACTAGCTAAGGCTAGTTGTAATGTATAGTTTCCAATGATTATGTCATTTTGATGTTCAAATATAATCTGCCATGTCGTTGGTTCATATGTTTTGTTTTCTGTTATTCTGTTTACAATACAATTTAGAATCAAAATTCTTTGAAATTTAGTAACAATATAGTTCTAAACAAAAACATTATGGTTATTATTATTACCTTGTAACTTGAGCATAAAACCAATCTATATTCTTGTCAATACCCACAGTGTAAACAAGATCACCATTTGAATATATATCACTGTAACGTTCCCATAATCCATATTGTCTAAACCTGTAAAATGTAAAATATTTGAAATGAATAGGATGCAAAATTTAAGCTTAAGATATGTTTTCAGTTTTATAAAATTCACGATTTTTGAACTAACTAACTTGTCTCTGCGTTGTTAGGAGTATAATTTGTTCAAAAGAGTAGGGTAAGGGTCTGGAACGTGAAATTCTAAAGCCAATCGATCTGGGAATCCGATTTCCCAAATGGTTGGTCCATTTCTTGGAGGATTGTATACAAGTGAATTCAAGTTTATGACTCCTCCTACAAATTCAAACAAGTAATTGTTTAATCATCTAAATTATAATTAGATTTTGTGCTAAGTTAATCTACAAGAGAGTAAAAGAAATTCTTTACCAGGGGTGATGGTGATTGTAGAATTAGATTTATAATCACCAATGAATCCAGGGACCCAACCATACAAACTATAGTTTCCTGGCACAATATTAGTTATTTTGAAGTATCCCTTTGCATTTGCTCGAGTCCAAAATTGATAACTCTATGAATTGTTTCAGATGTATCAGAATCCAAAATCAAGAAAACACGAGTTTTATTCGAAGATATTTAATGACAAATTTGAAAATTAAATCAAAATTTCACATAAAATACTCTAACATAAATTTGAAAAATGTTATATAAATACATACTTTACTTTCTCTCTGCCATGATCCTGCTTCTCCAGGCAAAGCTAAACCAACAAAAGCATTAGTATATTGAAATCCACTCTTTAATTTCACCAAAACAAACTTGATCCAAATAGAACAAATTTTGCATACATCCGAGTAAATCAAATAACAGCCACCGCATAATCATAGATCAAACTTTATCCACAATAGAGCAAAAATATCAAAATGTTTTTAAAACAAAATTCCACAAAGTACACACTTCATTACAAGACAGATCAAAATTCAAACACATCAAAAGGTTACTAACTCAAATACAAGAAAACATAAAAAATCAGTAATCACTTCCAATTCAATATTCAATCAGGCAAAATGCAACAACTGTTAACAAAAAACTTGTAATAAATAAGAAGATAAAAGATTGAGAAGGAAGAGAACACACATATGTATTCAACTGTCTAACAAAGCTTGAGAAGTTGTTGTGTTTGAAGTACTTCGGCAAAAGGTCCCTAGCGAATTCCGGTGGGTCCCAAACAACAAAACTGTTATTGGTTACGCTCCATGAAACTACGGCGTCAATGGAAGGGTCATCCACCATGTCATACGTCTTGCTCAAAAACGGAGGCGGCGAGTTTGAGTTTTGCATCGGTGTCGGCGCCGGTAATTGGGATGAGACTTCTCCGTCGCTACTGACGCCGCTGGCTCCGTCCATATCGGAGATTTTTGATATTTGAATAATAATGAGGAGTGTTGAGAAATTGAAAACCCTAAAAGGGTAGTTTTTGAATGATGAGAGATGGAATTATGGAATTAGAGAAATATTAATAATGTGTTAGAAAAATTTCTATTTAATTGAAATATAAATAAGTTTTAGACTAATATATATATATATATATATATATATATATATATATATATATATATATATATATATATATATATATATATATATAATTATTTATTTTCTGTTTAATTGAAATTTTTTATTTTTAAATTCATGTGTTAGAAAAAATTTTATTTTTATATATATTAATAATGTTTAGAGAAAAATATTTGTTTTTTAGTGTATAAGTTTTGGAGGGAAGATTGCCATCAAAAATTTGATAATTCTAAAAAAATTTATACAATATTTCAGAAATGTAGCCTTTTATTAGAACTAATGTAACAATCTAAAAATATCCCCAAAAATATTTTAGGGGACAATTGTCAAACATTGCTAAAGAAATAATATTTTAACGCTCTAAAATCGTCCCCAAAAGCAGTTAAGGGCACAATTAACAACCGTTGACAAAAAAATAAAAGAGTATCGCTCCATAAACGTCCCCAAAAGTATTTTAGGCGACGATTATCAAGGGTTGCAAACATATTTTTGACAACAATCGTAAATCATTGCCTATATGAATTTAAGGCAACAATTTCTACATGTTACCTAAAAAAGTGTTGCCAGAGACAACAAATGTTGTAGTGATCACATTTATTTAAATTTAAAAAGTAAATTTTTTTATAATTTAGTAACTAAAAAAGAAACAGAGATATAAATCTTCACCCTCAATCTCTTTCTTATTAGGGATAACAATTGACAGAGTTTGGATAGAATATTATAGTACTCATCTTCATACTCGCAGTTAAAAAAAATCCTCGTACTCGAACACATGTCCACTTAGATACTGAAGTTTGCACCCGAACCCGTACCTTTTAGGTATGTGGGTATCCAAACCCGTACCCACTATCCACATTCTCAATATATAGAATATCATATCATTTTAAATATCTAAGAATATTAAAAAAATTTCAAAAAATTTATTCTTTAGTTATGAAATAAACAAACACATATTTAAATATGAAATTGTTTAAAATTGATATTTTTTTTGAAAATTAATAGACGATATATATATATATATATATATATATATATATATATATATATATATATATATATATATATATATATATATATATATATATATATATATATATATATATATATATATATATATATATATATATATATATATATATATATATATATATATATATATATATATATATATATATATATATATATATATATATATATATATATATATATATATATATATATAATGCCGGTATGAGTTATGATGGAAACTAAATAACTCATATTCAGGTTATATTTATTTATTTTAATAAATAATTATTTAAATCTGTGTCCGTTATTTTTGTATCTTTTTACCTTATCTATTTTAGAAAATTTTGAGAGTATCTACTAAAAATAAGTTAAATTGCCATCCTCTTCTTATTCAAAATTCTTTTGTTGGACAGCCATCAACACTCCAAGTATATGCTCAAACATTCAACAATCCAATTTCGCCCCACAATCACATACCAGTGCGATTAATTTAAGTGCTTGATTGCAATTTTACCATTGCGATTAATTTAAGTGCTTGATTGCAATTTTTTTAAATAAGCTGTTTGATTGCATTTAAATATGTCTACTTTTTAAAATCTGTTGACTCTTTTGAATCACATTATAAGTGCGAGAAACTTTTGCAAATTTTAACTATTCACGTTTTGCATTCTTTTGTTTGTTTCTATCATATTGTTAATTTCTTTTTTTCTTTTAGCGTTGCAAGTGTAAGTAATTATATATTATACTTATATACATATAATATCGATTTCTTCTTACTACTTTTTTGTGATATATATTATTTTTAACAACCTAATGCCTAGCTTTAGGACCAATGGTATTTAAATGAAAAAGTGGATTGTTTTTTCTTTATTTCTTTTTGGTATGTACTAAAAAGTGGATTGGTTAAGTAAACTATTACATATTACTTTACGTATGGGACCCTTTTTTGTATAATCATATCAATAATAGTTTTTAAAGGCTTAACTAACATAAAATAAAATGAAGAGCTTCTAAAAAAAACTAAAAGAAAGTAGGCGTAGATATTCACTTGAATGTGGCTCTGCCACTTCATTAAAAGTTATATGCATTAACAAAATAATAATAGAGTACTAAAAAAAGAAAATTTATCTAGTAATGGTCGGAAATAATTTATATTTTAGAAATGTTTTGTTAATTAAGTTTGTTAGATGTTATTTTAATATTTTATTATATTTTAATATTTATGTATAAATAATTTAGTAGTAGGTAGATCAATATATCTATTACTCTTTATTTTGTAGCCGTTATTTAATATATATTTTTTGTCTTTAATATATATTTTGTAGCCGTCATTTGATTGAGAATTATATTTTTTTTCCTGATTCTGTGGGATTTGGGAAACCTGTGTGTTAGTGAATTTTGAGTAAACTACACAAGGTTGAAGATGAACGGAAACGACGATATCAATTCAAAGCTTCTAGTGTTTGATGGCAAAAACTGAAATGATTGGAAGATCCAGATGCGTGTGTTGTTCGGTTCTCAAGATGTGTTAGATCTTGTCATCGATGAATATGCTTCATTAGAGGCAGACGCGACAGAGGCACAGAAAACAACGCAGAAGGCGATAAGAAAGATGAAAAAGCATTATTCTACATCAATCAGTGTATGGATGCGAATGTGTTTGAGAAGATTGTTGACTTTGAAACAACAAAGGTTGTGTAAGACACACTGGTAAGATGTTACAGTGGTGACACATCAGTGAAGAAGGTGAAGCTTCATCCCTAAGAAAGCAATATGAGAATCTTAACATGAAAGACAACGAGATGGTTTCTGAGTACATCTCTAGAGTGATTCTGATCACTAATGAGATGAAAGCTTGTGGAGAAACCCTTTTTGAACAAGTAATCATAGAGAATGTATTGAGAACTTTAACTTCTCAGTTTGATTACATTTTGGTAGCAATTGAATATTCCAAATATTTGAGCACCATGAGAGTTGAAGATCTGCAAAGTAGTCTAGAGGCGCATGAGTTGCGTATGACTGAGAGAACTGCTGAGAGGGAAGTAGAGCAACGAACTCTGGAAGCAACTTCTGATAAGAAGTATCAGAAACAGACTTGGCCAGAAGCCAGAAAGAAAACTAATGATGGTCAGAGGTCATAAGCTTCAACCTCTGATAGACAGAAGAATGTCCAGAAGGGAAAGAATAAGTTTGACAAGAATAATGTCCAGTGTTACTGTTGCAAGAACTTTGGTCACTATGCCAAAGATTGCTGGTCAAATAAAGAAAGGAAGTCAGAAGAAGCAAATATAGCTAGAGGAGAGTCTGATGATGAACCAATGCTATTGTTGGCTTCTGAATTCGATGATGTAAATTCATCTGAATGGTGGTATATGGACACTGGATGTTCAAACCATCTTATTAGAAACAAGAAATGGTTGGTTGATTTTGACTATGTGAAGAGTACAAAGATCAGATGTGTTGATGATAAATACCCCAATGCAGAAGGTATGGAAAATGTCAGAGTCATTCTAAACAATACGAAAGCAGAAGTGATTCAGAATATGTGGTATGTACCTGGCATGAAAAGAAATATGATGAGCGTGGGACAACTGATTGAGAAATTTTTTCAGTTACCATGAAGGAAAATCTTTTGAAGTTGCATGACTGTAATAAAAAGCTGATTGTGGAGTCAGAATAAGTAAGGAACAGAACATTCAAGGTGAATGTCAGAACTACAGACTTTGAATGTCTTAGTGCAATAAGTGTTGTTAAGGATAGTGAGCTGTGACACAGAAGATTTGGTCATCTGAATTTCAGAAGCTTAGGGCATCTGAAACCGAAGAAGTTGGTACATGGAATTCCTATAATCAAGAAGCCTGAGAAGTCATGTAGGGTGTGCATGGAAGGGAAGCAACCAAGATTTCCATTTGCATCATAAGTATTTCCAAGAGCAAAGTATGCCTTGAGAGTAGTGTATTCTGATGTGTGTGGTCCATTCCAGTAACATCGATTGGAGGGAATAAATACTTTGTGTCATTTGTTGATGAGTTCACCATAATGAAATGGGTATCTCTCATCAAGTTCAAACACGAGGTGTTTGCTAAATTCAATAAGTTCAGACTGAAGGTTGAGAATCAGAGTGGCCAGACTCTGAAGATTCTTAGAACTGATAGTGATGATGAGTATAACTCCACAGAGTTCAGAAGATTTTGTAAGGAGAATGGAATTGAGCATGAGGTTACTGCTCCTTATACTCCTCAACACAATGGTCTTGCTGAAAGAAGAAACCATACTTTACTTAATATAGTGAAAAGCATGCTGAAAGAGAAGAAGGTTCCTCATGCTTTGTAGGGAGAAGCTGTTGCCACTACATGTTATGTGCTCAACAGATGTACAATGAAGAAGCTAAAGGAAATAGTTCCTATTCGGAAGTGGACTGGAGAAAAGCAAAGTGTTAGCCATATGAAGGTGTTTGGATATGTATGTTACAAACATGTCCCAGAAGTCAGAAGACAGAAGTTGGATGATAGAAATAAAGTAATGTTACCGGTGGGGTACCATAGTACAGGTTCGTACAAACTTTATTGTCAAAAAACTAACAAAGTTGAGTTCAACAAAGACGTCATTGTAAAAGAATCAGAAGTCTGAAATTGGGAAAAGTCTCGTTCTGACTCTGATGAGAGAACTTCTGAAGAAAAGTCAGAAACACATGTTACTGAAGCTAGTAAAGATTTTGAATCTGAAGACGAGTCCGATGGTGACTCTGACTCTTAAGTAGATTCAGAAGGTGAAGATGATTCTGACTCTAACTTCTATGGTGATTCAGACTCTGGGAATTTTTC